AAGAAGAAGAGTTGTGGGGTAAAATGCTGCTGGAACTGGGAGCCAAGAAACTGCATCCTGATGTTTGACTCCTGCTGTGGTCTAGGACAGCGGTCTCCAAATCCACTGGGGTGCGGGAAGAAAATATTAGAACTTCTATTTCTATTTCTATAAATATACATATATTGGGGGTGCGTGCTCAAAATTTTTTTACTGATAGGGGTGCGCGATCAAAAAAGTGTGGAGACCACTGGTCTAGGAAACAAACTTTTGAATATATTCTTTGTAAAAAGGACTGCATTAAAGAAATACCTAAATTTCTCATCAATTTCTCTTCCTAATGGAAACCTTAAAGACCGCAAATTGGTTTTCTGGCTGACCATCCAGCTCAAAATGTGCAACAATATATAACACTTTCTTTGTCTTTTAACACACTTGCCTTAGTTCAAAATAAGTACTCTCTTTTCTTTACTCCTCCCACACAGTAATTCTGCTGTAGGTAGGATCTTGGGGCATTTATACATGTGCTCTGGGAGGGAGGGGGAGCTTTAATTAGAGCAGCTCCTGGAGCATCTTGTGTATCAGCATTCCCACACTGAAAAATAGTGGCAGGGACGCTTTAACTAAAGCCCCCCCCCCCCATTATTCAGCGTGGAGATATTGATATACAAGATGCTGGAATCTACTGAAGTGTGGCAATTGCCACACTTCAGCAGACTTGATTAATCGAGTCTGTTGTGACACTGTAGTTACAGTGCATCAGAGCAGCCCTGTTGCTCATGTATAGGTGCCTTAGGATGCCATCTAGGATGGCTCTAAAGTTCCTAAATCCTTTTTTAACCTTTCCTTCCCTTCCATTTTGCATTCCTGTACAGCAAGATATGCCCTAGAGCTTTATCTACTAATTTTGGTGCATAGGTTTGACTACAACCTTGTATTTCTGACGACCATTTGAGAATATATCATCACTTCTTCATCTTGCTGTAACAAGAAAAGTGTGTATAACACACACCCAGTCTTCGGACTATGGATTTGATGAGGAAGTTATCTTGTTAATTAAAAATGCCTGAAGGCTCTGAACAGCTTTCTTGTGGATCATCACAAGGTTATTATAGGTTTACTGCACTCATTACAAAGATGTCCATAATCCAGAAATATCCTTGTCTTAACTTTAAGGACATCTCATCCAACTTTTTTTAATAGTTGTTGCTGACAGGTATTTTCATAAGAGACAGTGATTAAAAATTTTAGTACATATGACTTTAAATGTGTTTTAAACGTATATACCTTTGGCTTGTGTCAAGCATAAAATGTGAAAATTCTGCTGTTAAAAGTTGACAATTTACCTAAAACACACACTCCTCTTAGCAGGCATTGATACCGCTGAAAAAGGGTTAATTTGGTTCTGATGACTGAAAGAAGCAGGTATCTTATTATATCATCCAAATATAAAAGTGGGCATGGCTACCTTGAAAAGTGGAGAAATGCCAAGCAACCTTAATGTACTAAAAGTTCTGCTCCAGACTAGCACCGACTGATGCCATGACACAATTGCAATATATAGAATTAGATTAGAAAGGAGCTTCTCTAGGGTCAGCACATGCAGGATGTGCTGTTCCCAAACCATCCCGAGCAAATGCTTATCTATCCTCTTCTTGAAAACTCTCATTGAAGGAAATTCCCCAGCTTCCCTAGGCAGCTGATTCCATTGTCCTACTGCTCTTTCATTTAGGAAGTGAACTAATCAGACATGCTGCTATTTAAACCCACTGGCACGTCATGCCCATGTGGCAAAGGCAAATAATGTTTTATTCCATCTTCCTTATAGCAGCCTTCCAATTATTTTAAAATTGCTCATGTTCCCTCTCAATCTCCTTTTCTCCAAAGAAAATATACTGTCTTAAACCTTTTCTTGTATGACTTGCTTTCCTTTGTCCCTTGTCTCTGGATTGTCTCATTTCTCTAGATCTTTCTTAAAATGTGGCACCAAAAGTGAACACAGGACTCTAGCTGAGGCCTACCCAGCCTTGAGTGGAGTAGTACTATTCAGTTAAGGCTTGCATACAGTGCTTCTGTTAGTGCAACTCCAAACTTCACAAACTTCATTCCCCCTCCTTTTTTGCTTTCATGTAGCTCTGGAACCTCTTTTCCCTTGCTGCTGGGGATGGGGATAGTGAACAGCAGCAGAAGTCTTCCCCTGGGGCTCTGAAGCTGCATGTAATCAGGGGCTTCGGACAGACCCCACATTGACCAGCTGGAGAGCTCATAGAGCTCCCTGTGACCAGCTGGTGAGCTCAGAATCATGGCAAGGGAGATCATGGCATACCCTGTTTGACTATGTGGCATACACACAATGAGCTCTCTTTACTGCTGAATGAGATAGGGCCACACTCCTATTGCCAGGATACTGGCTCTGCCTATGCTGCTTGGAGTATACTGATGTAAACTACTAATTCAGTACAGAGGTACCCATCAGTACAGAGGACGATCAGGACATTATTCGGAAAGAACTGGATGAGCTAAAAAACTTGAGTCATAGAAATGCAATGAAATGCAATAGTGCAGACTGTAAGGTCAGGCACTTGGGACTAATAACAAAGCGTGCCTGTAGACGTGCGGGACAACTGCTCCAACAGGCTGCAATTATAGCATGTCGGAGAATATTTGATTCATTGATTTTGCTGCAGCATGCTAATTAGTACACTCCAGCAGCCACAGAGTCTCATGTATTCAGCATCCATGCACTTCAAAATGACAACAGGGACACTTTAACTAAAGCTTGCTTGACAAGTGCCTCTGCTGCCATTTTAAAGCCCAGAGATGCTGAGTACACGAGATACTGGGGGCACTTTAATTAGAGCAGATCCGGAGAACCACTCTAATTAAAGCCCCCTCCCGCACATGTAAAGACTTCCAGAAGTTTCTGTTATAGTCTCCCACTCAATGGTTAGAAATAAATGAAGAAGAGAAGGGATTGAAGTATATTTTTGATCACACAATGGCTGTAAGCTGTCAGTGTGATGCAGCTGTGAAAAAAGCACATTTGTAATCCCAGGATAGGTTGATCAAGGAGGTCCCAGCAGAGGAGGGAAATAATGTCATTGTAAAAAGGCACTGGAAAGGCCTTACTTTAATGCTACCTATACTTCTAGTTATGCTTTTTCAAAGAAAGATTGATTCACAGCAAAGCAGGTGCAAAGATGGGTGGATGGTCAAGAAAAGAGAGCACCTATCTTTCAGCAGAAGTCTAGAAGAACCCTATTTGTTGTGATGATTCAGCCAGGACATAGGCAGCTAGGCCCCCAGTAGGTCACTAGGAGTGATCTGGGTTCGGGGCACGAGCTACCAGAGCTGGGAGGGGAGATCCAAGAGACACAGTCTGAGATGTAAGCTGAGGTCAGGAGCCAAGTGTTAAAGAACTGCTGCCAAGTCCTAAGAAAGACCTCAGGTCAAGGTCAAGGAAGCCCAGCCACATCAGCATGCCAGAGAGAGCAGGGCCAATGTGGGTTTAGGGGAGATCCAAGGTGAAGAGGCATGAAAGCAAAAGGCAAGGTGGGAGCCAGAAAACCAGACAGCAGGGACCACAAGGCTTGCTGGGACAGCCTGTGTTACTGAAGGCTGCAGGTGTGCTGCGGGTAACCAGGGCAGTCACACGAGCCCGGGATCAGGCAGGCGCTTGGCCCAGCCCAGGTGCCTGATCAGAGGCTCCGACGCTGGGTTTGCTCTAGCAACGAGCGAGGGCAGGGAGGAGGCCAGGTGCCGCCCTGGACCTGCGAAGGAGGCAGGCCCGGGCAGGGGGTGGAGGCGACCCCATCTGCCTTCAATGGCAGAACCGGCTCGGCACAAGAAGGGCCGGGGCCAGGGCCGGGGCCGGGGCCGGGCGGCAGGCGAGGGAGGGAGGCCCCTCCCGCCTGCAGAGATGCGCCTGCTGCTCCCTCCCCCCCCGCATTTACATTCCAGCGCCGCCCGGCTCCAGCTGCTGCCCAGCACATCTGGCCACAGCTGGCTGCGCTCCGCGCGGGACGGGGCAGGGTAGGGCCGCAGCCGCCCATTGGCTCCCCCGCGCGGGACTCTTTGCGCTGCCGGGCCTCTCATTGGCTGG